GCCTCCGCCGTTTCTCGGAGTACCCCTTCCGCGTCCTCGCCGTCAACACCATCGGCCGGGGGCCCCCCAGCGAGCTGGTGGAAGCCCGCACGGGGGAGCAGGCCCCCTCCAGCCCGCCCCTGAAGGTGCAGGCCCGGATGCTGAGTGCCAGCACCATGCTCGTGCAGTGGGAGCAGCCAGAGGAGCCCAACGGCCAGATCCGAGGCTTCCGGGTGTACTACACCACGGACCCCCACCTGCCCCTGAGCATGTGGCAGAAGCACAACACTGACGACAGCCACCTCACCACCGTGGGCAGCCTGATCACAGGCACCACCTACAGCATCCGGGTCCTGGCCTTCACCTCCGTGGGAGACGGGCCCCCCTCGGACATCCTGCAGGTCAAAACGCAGCAGGGGGGTACGTAGCAGCGCACGTCGGGGGAGCGGTGCCCCAGGAGCCGGGCTGGGCCGTGGGTTTTGATGGGGGGGCACTTTGGCAGGTGGTAGGGGCCCCACTTTTGGGGGGGCGGGTCTGGGACGGAGGCTGGGGCGGAAGGAAGCTCGGGGCAGGCAACTGGGGTGCAGGACAGGGCGTGGGGTCGCAGAGGGAGGTGGGGGAAGGGGGTTCGCAGTGCACAGAGCTTCCTCCTCCCCCGAGCAGAGGAGCAGATGGAGCAGCAAGCTGCTCTGAGCCCTGGGCTGCTCCCTGCCTCTGGGTCCGGCGGAGGCCGGGTCTGGCCCACCCCGACCAATAGCAACGTTGAGGGCCCCACTGGATGTGCTCGCCCTGCCTGGAGCTGAGGAGGGGGAGGGCCCAGGTGAAATTCACAAGCCCCCTGCCAGGCCCCCCGCCCCCAGCCAGCACTGACTGTTGTGTCCGTCCCAGTGCCAGCCCAGCCAGCTGATTTCCAGGCAGAGGCGGAGTCGGACACCCGGATCCTGCTGACGTGGCTCCCGGCCTCGCAGGAACGCATCACCAAATACGAGCTGCTCTACTGGGAAGGCGAGGCTGGGAGCCAGGGGAGGCGTCTGCCTTTGCCGCAGCCCATGAGCCACGGGTCAGAGCAGGCTGAGCCAGAAGGCTGGCGGGGCGG